TCCTCCTCCTCCTCCTCCTCCTTCTTCAGCTTAGATTCCATAGCCCATTTTACAGATCACACCCTAGTGGAGACCTCAGCCCCTTTGATTTCTCCTCTATTTGTCATACTTTCCTGGAAAATCACTACCGTGGTTGTTTGCCTTAGTACTTTATCTCTCCTGATCAGTCATCGGCTTCAATGAATACAACTACAGAAAAATGTGTAAGTTTTCATACTGAACTTCTGAAATCAATCCCAGATAAGCATTTACTACAATTTTTACATACTTTATAATGCATTGGTTCTCCCATTCTCTATATCTAAGTCCTGCCTTCTCTTGTCTCCCCAACCCTCCAATACCCACTGTATCTCCATCCTTACATTTTCTAGAGATACAATATAGAGCTCGCACAAGTACATCTAGACCATCCTGTCTCCAAGATACATAATCTTATAAAAATATACTAGTCTTTTTCATATTACTAGGATGCCCTGCTCTATCCAGTGCTTCTTCACCCCTTCATCAGTTGGTTTCCCATCTACTCATGGATCCATCTCTTGGCATTGTCCCACCCTTTCCACTTCATTTTCCTCTCTCTTTCTGAAATAACCTTCCCTTGTGCTCATATCTTTCCCTAGTTCCCACCTCATTTCCCTTTGCTATCTCCTTTTCCCCTTTTATGTGAGAATAAAGTTATTTTAAAATATTTTGCATAATTCATCTAATTGCATTTTTCTTTTGAATCCTCTCAAATTTTTGTTTTTATCATTAGGATGACTTTCACGAAAGTCAAGTTAACTAATCCTGCTCACATCCATTATGTTGCTATCACCCATGATAAAGTCTTAGTTCCTATTTTACATCTATTTTGAGAAATTCACTGCTTCTATCATAAAATATATTTTAAATATAAAAGAGGGTTAAGAAACACTGCTTAGGTGATTTTACAAATTTGTAACGTTTTTAATAGTGTCCAAATAATGATGCTGGATTTGCGTTTCCAGTTACACCTGTCCTCCTATGTTCAGATTTTGTCTGTGTGGCAACTTGCCTTAACCCTAAATTAATCTGATTTTCTTACATCTACTTTCTTGTGTGTAGTCTCTTCTACCTCTTTAATGGAATGTTTCTTGGTGACTCTGTTCCTTCCACTGTTGTTTTTAACCTTTAAAATATGGCCAGAATAGGGTCTGGGGATATAGCTCAGTGGCACAGTGCTTGAGTGACATGCACAAGACCAGAGTTCAATTTCCAGCGGATGGAATATATCTATATATCTATATATCTATCTATCTATCTATATATATATATATATATATATATATATATTTATGAAATCTCTCACTATCCCCATTCACACTACAAGAATATTTTTATGAATTATTACTAAATGATCTAAATGATCTTTATGCTTTCTCACTTTTTCCTTACTATCTGTTATCAGAACAAATGTCATAGCTATTATTTATTTTATTTTATTTTGGTGGAATCAGGGATTGAACTCAGGCCCTTGTGCTTGCCAGGCAAGCATTTATTCTACTGAGCCATGTCCACATCCCATAGCTATTATTTTTATCGATAAGAACAAATTACAATTCTCTATTAATCACATTGAGATATTGGCACATATTGATACACTCAAAATTATAAGATTTCCTTTTATTAATTCTATTAATTTACTTATTCCTGGTGATGAATTAGGCATTGTTTTAATTCTCAATTATAAAAGATAATATCAACATGACATAGTTGATATTGTGAATTGTGAAATTCCCAACCAGTTAGTAATTATGCTAACTAAGCTTCAGATCCAGTCAATCAACTTGAGAGTCCATGCCTCTAAAAATGACTCAACACTTTGATCTGTAGGTCATTTGATAATCCTAAGAACTTCATAGAGAATGGCTTTTTTGTTTTTCTTTGGTGGAACCAGGGATTGAAGTCAGGCCCTTGCACTCACCAGGCAAGTGCTTCTTCTACTGGGTTAACTCCCCAGCCCCAAGAATGGCTTTGTTTGTGATTATTGTGAAAAATGTTTGGAACATTACAGAATTCAACTGCCTGTGCTGACTTATTTGAGAACACTAAATACGCTGCAGGTAATATTATAGAATTACTCTTCTTCAGCAACATAAAAACATATTTAGTTTTAACTTCCTGTTTTCTTTCCATAAGATAGTTTTCACATGAGGGAAGCATACCGTTTTGATGTGTATAGAAGCCCCTGATCTAATTCAAATGTCTTTTTTCACATTACTTCTCCAACTTACGTTTTAAATGGAGTGCATCCCCATACAACACTTGGTCTTAAATTAGCATTCTACCTATACTGTGTGAACCTTTGCATGCAGCTCACGTCTTTATCTCTGTCATTTGCTGCCCTCGTTAGAGCAGGAGATTCTAGCACTTTTTTCGATCAGCTTAACGTTTTTCTTAATCCTTCTTTCTATTCTACCATTGTTATACACCCTAATGTCTTCCATGCAAACAAAGGACACTACCAACTATTACTCAGCATAAAGCACACTAGCTTTACCATCTAGTCTAAGCTTGCAAATCCTTTTTTTTTTTTTTATTCTAGTAAAACTACCCAGATAGGTCCTCATTGAATAAGTGCCAACTTCCAGGACATTTAGGAGTATATCAAGGTTAAGCACTTCTTTTACTTTCTAAAAATTGTTCATGTATTGTGAATTAAACCTGCTTTCTGAGTTTCTAACTTTTTATTGATGTCTCTGTGATCATCATTACTTTATATTTTTGTGAGGTGTGTAAAATCATATTTTTCTGGGGCCTGTTTGAAACCATGCTTAAGAAATAGCGCTTGTTGAATAACAATGATAAAATCACACTTACCCAATAGCACTTGCTGGATAACAACCACGAAACCAATAACAGAGATAAATAGACAAACAAAATCAGATTGAAGACAAAATTAATGAAAGCATAATTATTCTAATCTTAAAATAACTGCTATCTGATATGTGTGTGTGTGTGTGTGTGTGTGAGTGTGTGTATTGGTTAATGTAGAGCTAATGTTCACTCTTTATTTTTCTCTTTGTTCCCAATTGGTACATTGTCATAGAGCATCAGCTAGTTTCTTTTCTTTTGTTATTATTTTTAAATGAAATTATCTGAATGTTTATCTCTTTTCTAACTAAGTTAAAAAGTTATATATTCACCACTATAGAAATGTGTATTCCTGCAAATAATACATTGAGTCAGCTTACATTTTAATTGGTAACTTAGTAGAACCACAGTCTGAGATAGCCTGATGCTCTTTAAAGGCTGTATTATAATTTTTATCACTAGCTGCAGTCAGAGAACTTCCCAAATTCTATTGCAAAACCACTTATTAAAATTAACCAATTAGTCTTTAGACAGAGGTTAAATAACGTGTTCAAGGTCCTCAAGCACCAATAGTATCATCAGAATTGGGCCCAAGGAGTTGTTGATCAAAATATTAATAAACATTCTAACAGCGTGGTGATGCTGTTCTTTGACAGTATAAGTCTGTGGACGGTACCGTTAAAATGACAAGTCCTACGGTGCAATAAATTTAAGATCTATTACAAGGTTCAGTGGCCCTGGAGCTCTGTCAAAATTGTATCTAGCATATACAACATCTTTTCTCTATAAATGAAGGAATGACAGGATGGTTCATTATGATATCTAATTAAAGGTCCATTAGTGGGAGGTAAAACATCAGTTCTTAGTTGTGCTGAGTAAAAACATTTCACAGCTCTAACAGCAATATAAAATCCTGAGGCCTGAAATGCAAATTAATTTTAACAACAGCAATCCAGGGAGGAGAGACAGAGATAAATAATGGCAAAATTAAAATTACGCTTTAAGTTGTTCAGGAAAAAATACAGCTGAATTTCACAATATTCTAGAAGCTGTAATTCCTAGTATGTATAAATAAATAAATAAATAAATAAGCATATCATTTTGTATTTCAATGTAGGTGTTAAATGTGAGGTCAAGAATATACAATATTATTTTCAATTGAATATACTAACATTAGGGAAAATACATCAATTAGAATCTACTCAAATTGTGCCTCAAAAACCAGGTAAGAAAATGAGTTTTCTGGTATCTTTACTGATACTTTTGAAGTGCTTGAGTAATCTGCTTGGTGAGCCATTATAATTTCAACTGTAAGTCAGCTTTTGGAATTGTACCTGTATAGCTCATTTCTATTGGTTAAAGTTACTTACAAACATTTAATAGCATCTCTGATTTAGAGAGTTACATGTATTTGACAATAATCTGAAGATATCATGTGCTGTAATTTGTATTAAAACTGTAGTCTGTCAACTGAATTATCCAACAGTTACATACTTTATGTATGAAGCTATTGCATTTAATGTCTTTTTCCCCCTGCAGAACCAGAGATTGAACTCAGGCTCTTGCACTGCATTTAATGTCATAATGGGATTATTTAATGTTATTTGTTTGAACATAGTTTTGTTCTGTCCAAAAGTCAGAGAATATATTTCAGTACTTAAGTTTGCTATTACATCAGGTCATTATGTAAAAGCAGAACACAAAATTCTGTGAGACTAGAAAATAAAACAGGTTAATACAAGGCAGTATGAGGAAACCCAGAGTCTTCCACCACCCACAGTAAGCAACAGAGTTCAGCCTACAGGAGGGATTTCTTGAAGGAAGCTGT